ACAATTGAATCTCATCAGTGACCTACTTTCGACACCAAATCTGAGCTTTATTCAACATTTAAGGAAGAGCATAAAGTCCAACTGTGATTTGGCCAATGACTTGTTGCATCGTAGGAAAAGCTGTCACTGGATTCGTGGCACCTGGCGGCATCGCTGCGTACAAAGCTATGAACTTGTCGTTCTTCGGGGGTCCTTTCTGCAAGTATCGAAGGTTTTCAGGTCCACTGATATCGAAGAGTTAAGCCTTACCCTTCGGATGATCTCGATTTTCTGCGACGCACCAGACTTGATGAACGAATAAACGGGCCTGAAGTTGTAGTCGGTGTTGTTGGAGGTTCGCAGCTTCACGACAAGGTCTGTCATGCCAGTGTTGATGAGTGTGAAGAGCTGAGTCTCGCCATTAGCGTCCAGCACAATTGATGGAGCGGATCCGATCAGAGACATCGACGCTAGTAAACTGAGACCTACTTCGATTCAGACCTTATATACTGACTGATGATTCGCTATCACAATCATTTTGCTGTTTGCCTCACTTTAGCTGCCTTCGCACTTCAAGAAGCACCTCCAGCACAACTCTTGGAAAATGGATATCGACAGCAAGTACCCAAAATCCACATTTAGTCAGAGCTGCCCTGCTACGGTGCAGAATCAACCTTGAAGACAGACATTCACCTCCAAGGACGATGTTTGCCATGTACAAAATGAGGTCCATGGCTGCAGCAGCGTGCCACTTTCTCCGTTTCAAAAGTGCACAGGAAAGCGGTAGTGGGCCCCGAGTGCCGTCTCCATAACCCGCCGACGTTATTCCCAACGTGTCTCGCTGCGGGAGCTTGGCGTTGATATCAAGGTCCCGCAGCGAAACATGTTTTCATCAGCAAAGAACTACCAGATTGGACTGCAACCAAGCCACCAAGCCAAACTGTGCACTCACCTCCGTGGATCCTGATCCTTGCCAAATGCTAGGGGTAAGGGGCCGTAGTTGGAGCAGCATGCCACTTTCTGATACCCGGTGCCCCTTGCCGACCGGACACACCAGGGCACATCTGGGCTGAGAATTCTAATCAAGTCCGTGCAACCTACGTCCGCTCCTAAAAGGTGCGACCCCGCTTCCCTTTCTACGGTTTGTTGTTTTTTTTCCAGAGCACGTCATGTCGCTGGGGAGAATTTCTGAAAACATCCCTCTCCCAACAGCGAGAAAATGCGATACCCTCCCCTTTATAGAATCTCGCGAACAAGAAAAATAAAATTAGCTTGAAAAAATATTTTCTCAGACCAATCCGACTCCCTCCTCCACTCAGCGATCGAATGGATCCCGTCCCCTTTTGGTGAATCCCCAACGATGATTGGCCTGCTCCACAGCCTGTCTAGTGCTACCGCGCTGCCAGCCACATGCCTAATCAAGGCCAACGCGCTGCTTCGTCTCACTTCTGGTTGTTCTACCGCTGACTGTAATATAGAACATTGGGCGCTGCTCATTCAGTACTGCAGCTATGACCGCTCCTCACCAGCTTTGGAGGGTCAAGTCGTAGAGGACTTATTGCGTCTTCTGATTGTAAGTTATTGCGTCATTCGTGACTCCAATGCGATTGTTACGGTCAATTGGTACTAAGCTTATCTGGATCTGGGAGTATAGAAACACTGGCTTGAAGCCAGGTATCCCGAAAAGCCTAGAACCTCCATTGCTGAGCCCAAATCACATCCAATTCTCAGTACAACTTTGGACTGAATCAGTGTATTTGTGTGACTTTTCTGTTCTACTCTGCGGACTAGTTGCAGTTGTGATTCCCATTCCAGGATTCATGACCGTAGAAGAGGCAGAGGCCGGGCCGAATCAGGTGCGCTTCAAGCTCGTTCGCATCGGAAGAATAAGCTTCTCTCACGATTCGGCTGTGCGTCTGGTGAGTGCATGTATCGCGATAACTTATTTGTTGGCAACTACTGATTTTCTATTGATGTTCAGATGTTTCGTGAGTGGACACTGCTGGATGAGGAACGATTCGAAGCACGACTGCTGATGACTACCACAGTCACCCGACGACTCATGGAACATACTGCGATTATATACAAGAAAATTTATCCACGATAGATTCTTGATGTTTTTATAAGTGGAAGAATGGAGCTCTTCGAAGTCATCCGAAGCGAGAATGCTTCGGATGACTTTGAATTAATAGGAACCGCTTAAATTATTCGAGAAATGCACGAATTTGATGTTCAACTTCATCCTTTTTTGATTCTGAGATTCGTCCAGAATTTACCTCATATGCACTACAGAAAAATTGATATTGAATTAATTATGCCTCTTCGTCACTGATCTGTGATCTCGCCGTTAGAAAGCTGCATTGACCTTACATAAATCTTATTATTGTTCATTTTTTATCCATGCAAGAGAGGTATTAACACATCAAAACCTGAACGGAAATGGGACACTATTCATCCTTCACTGCCTCAGTCTTTCGAAATCGTATCAGTTTTTCACCGACTTTTTTCTTCGGCTGAAAATCGGCTAAAAAACTTGCCTCCAGTAAAAGTGTG